TCGGACGTTAAAAGCTCCTACGTGTAGTTTAGAGCGTGGTTTCAGGAGACCAGGAATGGCGTTCCGCGTACTCGAATCGTTTGCCCTAGCGGTGCGAGGTGATAAAGAGACGTGAGGAGGGTTAGTCGGGGAGATAAGAGAGGTATTAGGAGGTGTAGGAAGGATTTGAATGTGACCAACTTGGTCTCGTGTTCTGTTACGGGTATGAGGGCTGATGTCACTTCCCGGCTGCCCACACCGTGGAAGGGTATTTCTTGAGGAACCTGAAAAGGAAATTGGATTAGTGTTGGTCTTAACGACCTGGGAGCGTGACCGCAGAGCCCAAGGGACAACTGCTTGAGGCCGGTCGCGCACGGCCTTTTCGTGGAAGGTTTTTGACGTGTTAGCTCCGTTCTTCAAAGGGCCTTACCGCCGGAGACGGAAATCCGTGAGGTAAGGTGAGGTGTGACATTTTTAGGGTCGACCTTTTCTAACCCCTTTCTTCCTTGTGGGAAGGCAGCATCGCTGTAATGCTGGTTGTCTGAGGGAAACACCTTACTGCTGTCACACCCCTCTACAGTCAGCAGTACGACTTCGCCCTCAGACCTTGAGTTGCTGCTTTTAGTCTTACCGTTCTCCAATCGACCTGCCTGGCATGGTAGAACCTACAGGAACATATGTTCCAGCCAATATAGCTCGGTTGGGTCATCACGATAGGCAAGCCCGATCACCGCGTCAAGGTAGCAGCTTCGGTCGGGTCACTTCTACTTTATAAATGTGGAACGGGCATTAATAGTTAAGGATATTTGGTGGTTGCAGGTATTTGATTGTAGGTATCTGCGAAGCATCGCTTGTGTATTTTGGGACCATGGAGTAAGCCATGCTTGGGTTAGCAATAGAGTACTAGGTAAACATGTTAAAGCGACTGATGAGGTGTTTTTATTATTATTTGTACTTATAAATATTGGTACAAAGGGGCACCAAATATATATGCACCACACACAAAATTTCATTTGATTTTTGTGTTGGTTGTGTTACTGTTCGAGTGTCTAGACCGAAGCAGGTGGTTTTCTAAGAGGGCCATTCTCCGAACCTTTGATCTAGAGGTTTAATCCACAAGGGGGTAGACCGACGTTAGGAGATTCAGTCCCATGGTAGCCGATGACCAACAGTATGTTCATACTTCGTTTGTTCCCTCCGGATCCTGGAGCCCATATGCAACACTGCTTAGGAATCAGCGTCTTAAAACTCCCCCAGGTGGACACGGAGGGTCCGCCAACCCGATTACATCTCTGGACATTCGCTCTTCGTCCTCTCAATTTTGTAAACAACACGCGTGCCACGAGAAGGCAGTGAGTAGGACTTCTCTTATAGTGGCTGGTGAGGTAGTAAATCTTCATTAGTCGAGGTGGTTAGGACATTTGTTACGCGTGCCCAACCCCTGCCTACCTCGACGAGTGACGTTTTCTGATAAAGGAGTAGGCTGGAAGAAAACTAGGAGTAGCCAAACCAAAACACGTCATCGGTCCATGAAGTCACTGACAATATGAGTTAACCATATTAATGGGTAAAGTTTACTTGGTTAGATCCGCGTGTTTATCGTAACCAATGGTTAGGGACTTTGAATGACATAGCTCACAGTCTTTTACAATGGTGCAGGTGCATCCATTCTTTGTCTTCCCCTAAATTGTAAGCTTCTGAATGATTCATAACTTTTTCATGTTTTTACTTTACCAATTTGTACTTTCTCGGAACTTATCCTCAATCCCTAATCTTTCTTATTACCACTGATAGTGTTACTATTTCTGGATTCGATCTGACATCATCTATCTGTGTTAATGGGGTATGACAATTTAAACCGATGTAGATACGTACTAGGTTCTACATTGTAACTAACTGACTAATCATTTGAATTGTTTATATTACATGATACTTAATGTCATAATTTAACATTGCTCATATTGATAATTTTCTCATATGAATGAAATACTTCCAATCCACTTATAAGCTATTTTGTGTTTCACAGTCATAAATAAAATATCATGAACTACTGTTCCATTTAATCTTCATCTAGTTATCAGATGAACATTTTGTTTGCATTATTGATTACATTGAATAACAAAACTATTTAATTTACTTGAATCTAATCATATATGTGTGTATACTACTGATAAGCCTTTTTCTCAGTTAAAAAAAGTAGCTTACATGGTAAAACAAATCATAACTCATAAAAAAATATGTGCATTTTGACTTAGTTTCTTTATTTATTTATTTGTAAATTCCAAACAATCAAAATAGCGTGATATATGGATTACATATTCATATTTTGTAATTTAATAGTCTTTTGTCCAATCTTTCTTATAATGTCGCACAATATCATTGTGCAAGTTATTGATAAAGACAATTCTATTTAGTTTATAGTTCAAGTCATTTATCATTTAGTCTATGCTTGTGAAACCTGACCTCTCCGAGTTGAGGATGTTAGACGACTCTCTGTGTTTGATCATCGTTGTCTCCGAAAAATTGCTGACATCCAGTGGCAACACCGTGTTAGCAATGCAGAGGTTCGGCATCGTGTGTTCGGGCGCAGAGACGATAATCCGATTGGTGTCACCATCTTGAAACATCGGCTTCGGTGGCTTGGACATGCTCTACGAATGTCGTCTCAGAGTGTTCCTCGTCGTGCATTACTTGCCGACACTGGAACTGGTTGGAAAAAGCAGAGAGGTGGTCAGTGTATGACATGGTGTCGGGGTATGAAAGAAAGCTGTAAAGGGTTGGCTTGTGTTGGTCCTTCACGACTCTCTGGCTGGGGTCCGAGAAATGGTGCAACACAGTGGCTAGAGACGTTATCAGATATGGCTCAGAATAGAAGCCAGTGGCGATCCTGCTGTAACCTTCTTTTACTTTCTTCATAAAAAGTGATTGTATCTTCCTTAACTGAAAGAATTCTTCTAGTTGTACCTTTCCGTTTCCCCATTATTATTTATTATTGTTGCACTACCATAAACTAATCTGGTCGTTATCGTTTTTTTTATATGCGCCTTACCTTCTTTTTCTCTTCGAATTCTCATTGTTTTGTGTGGCGCATATGTATTTGGTGCCCCCTTGTACCAATATTTATGTGTTCAAATTTAAAGACTGAAAATGAATTTTACTTGAGAACATATTACATATACAATCGATAATCCAGAGAATAAGATGTTGAATTAATTTATTCTTTTTAAGACCTGAAGGTGTTATGTTCGATTGTTGACGGAATCATGGTTGTGCATCACTATTGGAAGATCACGAAATTGGACGAAACAGTTATTCAATACTTTCTAAGTTTCCGAGTTGTAAAAAGGTCAAGTCAGTTTAAAACAGAACTTATCTCAACAACTAACCGGAGTAATCAGAAATTATCATATATTTTACTGAATCTTATTTGAATGATACACTCATCAGTTATTTATCGTCACGGATTTTTTTTGAAAACTAAGCACTCAAACTTATGCAGTTAATTACTGATAAGTTTTACTTGAATTTTATATCTGCAGATGTGTGTAATTAGAAAGCAATAAATAATAGTTTGGGGGCTATTGCTCGAAATCAGTCACAATAACAGAGATTTATCCGTTCTCTATCATCTGCTTTGAAATTATAAGTTCTAATTTCACTTCTCAAATCTTTTGTTCTTTAAGAGTTGTATTTTTTTAACCTTCTAATACTATCAGCTTTGGGGTTGCATACCTACACCAGGTTTATTAACTGTTTGAAAGCTAGTAACCACTAATTTACAATAGTTTTAACGTTGATAAGAGTGTATACTGAAGAATAGCAAGTTTTATGTTTGAAGTCAACTCTCCGTCAAACTATTTGTTTTTTAGTTAACTTAGATTTTTAACGTTGTAGTTGATTCTCTCTTTTCAGTGGCTCACCTACTGAGTTTGTTTCTGTATGGTTATTAATTGCCATTGCGCACACATTGGCCCCAAATGCCCTGGTACGGCCGAGAGTGGGGAGAGTCCACTCTCCCTCTCGAAATGCTCTCACATGGCCACGCGTATATAGCCTCTGCCAGGGAAGTCCTACTCACTGCCTTCTCGTGGCGGGGGTGTTGTTTACGAAAATGGGAGGACGAAAAGCGAATGTCCGGCGCTTTAACCGGATTCCAAACCAATGGTGCACATGGGCTCCAGTATCCTGAGGGGACAAATGGCGTATGAACCAATCGTTGGTCACCGGCTTCCATGGGACTGCATCTCCTTACGTTGCTCCACTGCCTTGTGGATCAGACCTTCAGGTCGAAGGCTCGGGGTGTGGCCCCTAAGAAAACTACCTGCTTCGGTTCGGGCACCCGGGCAGTATTACAGCCCTCACACATCGAATGAGATTTGTGGGGCACATATGTATTTGGTGCCTCCTTGTACCAATATCTATGTGTTAAAATAATAATAATACAAGTGACATGCTTTTTAAAATTCTCCGACTCAACATTTGTCCACTTAAATTCCTATTCATGACTATTCACATGAGTTAATATAATTGAAGATTTGTTATGAAATTCATTAGATAAACGGTGTATCGGTCAAACAACTAGAAGATGACTTTATTCTATTTCGTGTCTTTTCATAGGTATGTAACTGGTTATACTGTGTTAAATACTTATGTTTCCATAGTACATAGATCATAAGCATTTCATAGTTCACATTACTACTTAACCCTAATTAAATAAACATTCAAACTCTAGAAGAATTGGACAGCTTTTTCATTCTAATATAGAACTCCCTAGCAATGAATAATCCTACAGGACTTAAAAATTTCATCTCCCTATTGATTTTTACATGTCAAGTGGAATCATCAATAACGTTTTAAAATAACAGATTTTATCCATCGATCATTATTATAATTCGAGATTACTTGTTTCACTGTTGACTTTTTATATCTAATGTTGGTTTCACCATCAGATTTTAGGCAACTTCATTAGTTTGATTGAACATAATTTTCAGTTGTTCCTACTTTTGTATCCAATATTATAGATTATTTGTCAACTATGGGCGGATTATTTAATTTCTTCACAAAATTTAAGTTATGCTGGTCAGATTTACATGAAAGGTGGATTTTATGGTTTAGCTGCCAAAACGTTTTTATCTGTAACTAATACCCAACTGTGGTGTATTGCCGCTGCGAACAGTCGACTATTGAATGATAAAAATAATACTGATTTATCTACTGATCACTATTTAAGTAATACGGAAATACGTACTCAAGCACAAAAGTTGGCAGGTGATTTACTATTAATATCATCAATATTACTCTTTTCGGTTTATTTCATACATTTCGTTTTCTTTAATTTATTGTAAACCAGGTACCATGTCGGTTGATTAGTCTGTAGATTTTTGACTGAGGTGGTTGGAGCATGTGTTACCTATGCCCACCCAACACCTATTTTGACGCCGATGTTATAATAGTTTGGAAGGAAACCAGAACGTCGCTGTCTGTCACACTAGTCTATGTAATTCGGTTCACATCACCTGCTTGGAGTCTTCATGATAAATGCGTTCATTTGTTTGAGGATGTTAAATTACATGACCCAGAATTCATCATAGTGACAGTGATGCATTCATTCTTGATCTTTCTCTAGATCTTCAGTTCCAATATTTCTCCGCATGTATCTTTTCTCATTCTTACTTCTTGAACCATATTCTCAATCTTTAATCTTTTTTATCATTGTTTTTTGTATTATTTCAATCCCTTTCCTATCCATCTAATTAATTTTATCTTCTTGTGGTAAGATGGTATGACAACTTGGGCTAATTCACATTGATGCAAGACTCTGCCCTGATTACGACTGATGTTCGTCAAGTACTTATCTACGTACCCATCTTTGTACCACATTTTCATGTGTTTGTGTGTGTGAGTTCAAAGGCTATTAACACTCTGTAGTGAACGAAAACTCATGAGAAATCTTACAATGCTTTCGTAAAATATGAAACTTATCCATTAAATACATTTTTATTATTTGTTCTCCTCAATTCCATCTTATGCTGGAAGACATTCTACTTCCGAATACTGCTACATACCACTCATATCTGTAAACATAAGTAGCATATATCTCACTTCTACTCAACTTCCTAAAATCTAGTAATTGTAGTCGGATACTAACTGACTCTCAATATTCAGATTAGTAATCAACAATTCCACTATGGCATGCGACGTAAAATTAATTTGAGTATTTATCGACTTCGAATTCAAAAGATATAATTCTACATGTTACCTTTCTTAGAATAGTTTAAATGTGGATGAACTAATCTCATCAATGTTGATGGATTAAACGTTATACAATCTATTCAAATTATTTTCTCACTGACTAGTGTTTCTGTGCGTAACATCAAATACACTATCTTTATCATATCATCAGTGCAGTCGAAATCTATAGAACTTAAGTGTACAATCGCAATGTGAATAATCCATGTACTTTATTATACACTTGTTCTCCATTTTGATACAGTTCACATGATTATCACAATTTTCATATGACTGATTAAATAATTAATTAGCTAATAAAATATATCACATTGGGTTCGCCCATTAATTTATCTTGTTTTTTTTTGAATACATAAATATTCATAATTATAGTTTTCCAACATATTTGATTGGTAAATTTATAGAGTTCACTTATTTTGAGAATTATATAGAGTTGGTCACTGATTGTATTTGATCATATCTCAAATTGCTTGGAGTTAGAAATGTCAACTATTGGATACTGTTAATTTCAGTAGTCTAACGATAACGTGTTCCTCATGAAATCTGAAGGTCCCACATGTGATCCATACATCATTATCACAGCGAGATGGAATTTTTAGGGCAAATCCCGGAATAGTAAAGGTAGTAATAGTATCGCTGGTAATCAAAACGATTAAGCATTGAATATACAATTCGAAAAAATATAAATTAGTGAAATAATAAGTAACTTTTAGGGGTTTATAAATTGAGGATCTACAGGAAGGCAAAGTGTATGCACCTGAGTTATTCCAAATGATTTCGAGCGATGTCACTTTACATTTTCAACCACTGGTCATTTCATGGACTCCAACCAAATAGTCTGCACCTATTTATACGGATCAGTTCAATTGTTAGTGTTTTCATGGATTGATGACATGTCTTGGCTTGACCCCAGTTTCTTACTAACCTACTCCTGCATCAGCCATCATTGCATGTCGAGATAGTTGATGGCTGGGCATGAATATAAATGTCGGTCAATCACTATTCAATAACTTTTCATGTATATATTTTTGAATATTCACAAGTTAGGTCCCCCCAAAATACGAGTTTTGATGTAGTTCTGTTTACTGTCTAATTAAAATCCTTTACTTTAACCGAATATACAGTATATATTAAACCAAGTATTATTATTATCACTATCATATCTAATTTATTTCTGATCATCTATAAAGTTATTTGTATTGTGCAGTCAAGCAATGCACAACCATATATTAAGTACATTTCAAACATATTAATGTTGTGTATTTTTCTCAAAATAAATTATCAATGTACATTTGTTTTTACATTATTATTGATCTTAGTTGTTTACTGTTTCATTTTCATCTTTCTTTGTCTATAGCTCGATTAAAAGATCTTCAACGTCATCAAGAAGCTATTCAAATCTATATTGACTTTTTAGAGGTAGGAAAGACTTTTTCGATCAATAACTGTTTCTATTATGCAAAAAAGGTAGATCACATGTTACCAGTCTACATATGGCTGTTAGAATAACTGTAATTTCGAAGTTATTTTTCAACTTATAAGGGTAGTGGCCCCCTAAGAAAATCACCGGCTTCGGTTTGGGCGCCCGGGCAATATACAAGCCCTCAAACCAATCGAATGATAAAATGTGGCGCATATTTATTCGATGCCTGTTTGTACCAATATTTACGCGTTTAAATAAATAAAATAAATAGCCTATAAGCAAACAAACTGTATAAATAAAAAATATTTCACAACAGAAGCAATGAAATCCGTTAAAGTTTATTGGTCTTAAGTACTTATCAGCTTTTCAATGCTAATTATTAGATCCCCCATCTTAATATTGTAGAAATATCACTGGATTACCTCATTTATTTGAGCGTTTCTTATTAAATCTTTATCATAGTCATAAGTAATTGTTTGACCCCGAATGACCTGGTACGGTCGGGGGTGTGAAGAGTCAGTTCTCACATGGCCACGTGCATGCAACCACTGCCGGGGAAGTCCTACTCACTGCACTGGCTTCTCGCGGCGGGGTATTGTTTACAAAATTGAGAGGACGAAAGGCGAATATCTGGCGCTTTAACCGGGTTAGCGGATGTAGAGCAGTCACTAAGGGTAGTTAAGAGACACTGATTCCAAAGCAATGGTACACATGAGCTCCAGGATCCTGAAGGAAAAAATGGCGCATGAACCAACTGTTGTTCACCGGCTACCATGGACTGAATCTCCTAACGTTGCTCCGCAGCCTTGTCGATAAGATCTTTAGGTCGAAGGCTCCGGGTGTGGCCCCTAAGAAAACCACCTGGTTCGGTTTGGGCACCCGAGTAGTATCACAACTCACACACAAATCAAGTGCTTTGTATGGTGCGTATGTATTCGGAGCCCCTTTGTATGAATATTTATATGTTCAGATAAATAAATTTTTGTTTGGAAAATTTATCATTCTCTACGAAGTCTTTATCAATAAATTCCCTAAAGAGCTGCTAAGATAGTATTATGAGAAGATCGTTGTCATCTCACAAATATAGGAAATTCATGCGTAAAAGTCATTATAAAATTTAGCTTTCCTCTCTAAACATTGAATGCATGAAAGGTACTTCTATGGTGTATGTTACTTATGTCTCTCGACATAAGTAGACATTGGAAGCTCTATCAATTCAACGTCTCTAACCGTTGGTTACCATAATCGTGCGAACCTCTAAACAAGTAAAACTCTTCACACTACGAACAGACGAAATTCTACAAACAATGAGTTTATGAAGTCTTGACAACTCTGTTATTACACATTTTGCGTGCTCAAACAATTGTAAATAGAAAATGCTTTTTATTATTGAAAATTTCTATTATAAATCCTGTTTCTATTATTTCCTTGTCCTTTGATTCACCATAGGATCCTGTAATGGCCATCAGAACAGCTTGTGAAGATCGCCTGTGGATGGATGCTCGTCGATTGGTAATGCTTCATATTTTATTGAATAACATGTTTTTAACAAAATATTTATTTTGTTGTATAAAATGGTACAATTTATTTTATAAAATACTGAAATATCATGCATAAACAACATAGAACCTAGCAGTATACACGAATCAGTTCACTTTGTCACACTGTAATAACACCGTCAGATGAGATTATCAAGATAAATCACAGGATACTAAGAGTGGTAACAACAGTATCAGTCGTCGTAGGAAATTTTATCCACAAACAATATGATTTGAGAACAAATAATTGAATCGATAGGATAAAAAGTATGAGCTCAATTTAAAACTCAAATATAAGAGAATATTAAGAGTAAACGCATCTAGGTCACTGGAATTGATTCTAAGCTATATCATCCAACGTCTAACCGTTGGTTACTATAATCGCGAGGACCTCAACCAATTAATCTAGACCTACCTGCACGACTGAGTCCAACAGTCAATGACTTAATGTTTTAGCCACTCTTAGCTTTCTCTCAACCTACTCTTACACAAGTCATCATCACGCATCGAAGTCAACAGTGGTTAGGCATAAGTAATGCACATTGTAATCACCCCAGTTTATCGAAATTCACCATCTCCAGCAAATCCGACATACTCACCTTGTACTGTGCGTCTCACTGTAATATTGCTCACTTGGTCATTCCACGATACGGCAGCAATGCTTCAAAGACACTTATGATCGAACACTAGTAACCTATAAAGGCCAAACTTCATAAAACAGACTACTTCATCTTTTGGGTAGTAGACATGAAAAATATTCGTAAAATAAAGTTTTTGTTTATTTTTTTAACAAATCAGCATAAATACTTTCACTTCTATTCAGATTAAATAATGATAGTAATAATACCAATAGAGTGTAGTTAAAAAACCCCTCAATACCGCTATTTATCGATCTGATTCACAAACACACAAAAATGTAAATTAAATTAGTTTGTTTTCTTCTTTTCTGCACAAAACGATTACTGTAAACCAAACAAAAAAAAACTTAAGCTATAAGAGAACCAAAACTATTTCGTAAATCAATTTCATGCTAATAAGTACACTAACCCAACTATCCTCTCAAACTACATAATTCTAAGATTTTTTCGCAATAGATAATGTGCAATACACTGCATTGTATTTTTGTGACAAAATCAATCAGTGTGTATACATACAATGAGATACGGATAAAAACTATATAAATCATATTAAATATTGAAATAATAGAAATTTTGTGAGGGAAAAAATGTCATTTGAATATCATATTTATAATAATTCGTATTTGTTGTATTTTGTTTGTGTTCAATGTACAATGTCAATCAGTTACGCTATTTATTGGCTTTGAAAAAACACCATGCAAATACCTTCATCAGTTGAATTCATGAGTCAGTTAAAGTTAGACCACCATGGAAAACACTGGACGGCCGTTTCGTCCCAGTATTGGAGTGAAAGTACTTCATCAACCTAGCTTTAATACCGGTACTCCTAATAGTAGTAGTACGATACGTAGGAACAATTTGAATTTGTTATATACTTCATTAAAAAGTAAAAAGTGTAGGATGAAAATGAGATTAGTGGTGTAAGGAAGATCTAAATATTGTAAAGTTAAAATGAATAGTAGTAGGTATTATGTCAACCATATCGCGTGGACCAGGGAAAACAAGTTTGATTATGCATACATTTCACATACTCTTTTGTGGTTTCTTTCAGTCTAATCTTTGTGTTGAAATTTCTTGAAAAAAATATCACTATCTGTATGGCTACTCAATCACTATTTAAAATTAATCAAAGATTAAGACATCTATGCCGACTTCTGACATATAAAACAGCTGAAGATAGATGTTCAGTATTTTTTCAGATTTATATATATCTACCATGGTAATTAGCTGTGTTTATCAATAAAAAAGTCATAAACACTACATCTAGAGTGTATGTTGAGAACAATACTTTGTCCTTCATGGAGTTTTAAAGGATTGCGTTTTGTTCGAATTCGGGCTTACCACTTTCTCAGTCCACTATCTGACTCGATTATAGACGAACAATAAATGGGCAATGGACATAAATTCTCCGATTGATTTCGTATACTCTAATTAGACTAACCCCGTTTTGGCGACGACGTTAATACAAACCAAATACGAATTCATTTCAGGCACTATTTTACTCAGACAAATAAAAATAATATACGGAGAAGGGAACCGTGTCAATTTTGATGGTTCAAGCGTTACTCACTATTATTTATAGCCAAACAGAAAAATAAGCTAAAAACGTGATAAATAAAATAATTAATGATATAAAATCAGTCAATGTTGTAAGTGAATAATTAACAAAGTTAATATAAGTGGATGGTATTTCAAAAAGAATAATTTCATTGGTCTGTTTGAATCCCAGAATAATTTATGTAGGTATGACATAGTACTTAGACGCTCTGAGAGCTTACTGACAAAAAATTATTAAAAACGTAAACCAAGATCTATTTTAGTTCTAAATAAATAAAACTGTTCATATTACAAACATCCAAAGTCAACGAACAATGATGAAGTCTTGACCGAATTAAATGAAAAAAAACTCGGAAGTTACTGAAAAACTATTATCTCATTTCAATGTCAGTGTTTTTCTTAGTTAAATCCTCTAAATAAGAATACGTCATAATTGTATAGTTTACTTAAATAACTGTACAATTCATTAAAACATGCTCTTTTGAAGCATATTATATTGACCGTACAAAGTTTACTCTTTCCAAATGCATATCCTAAAAATATCCTTCATAGTTATCTACAGCTGAATATAAATCAGTCAATAGATCTATTCTAGTAGAACAAATTTGGTCATTCTGATCATCTGTTGTCAACAGGATTTTCCCTCAGATTTTAACATCATTTGTATACAATCGGACTTGAAGTATTTGTTTCCGTATTTGACCTGTAAATGTTTCTCTATTCTCCCTCTCTCTTTTTCTTCATGTGTGTTGTGTAGGCATCATTATATAATAAACAAGAATTTTTAAACCAAATCCTTAAATCTTCTCTAAGTGAACATTATTCTATCTTAAAAGAAAGATTGCATAAATCCACTGATACATACGATAAATTATTCGATCGATTAATTACTCTACGTCAAATGCATAAACAACAGGCGGAAACACAACGATTTGTTCAGATGCATGGTGATAGAGAGTATTTTGGTAAGTCTTGGCATGATTAGATTTACTAGAGGGAGGGGTACAGGGCTAGAACGTTTGTAAATTGACCGATTTTTTGATAGATTCATTTTGTATTGTTTGTTTGAATCTCCCCAGTGATGTTTAGGACTGCAATTTATCCGTTTCTTATTGGCATATATCCAGCTGATGAAAAGCGTGTTTTCGATTCCACTGCTAACCACCATCCATCTTTACTTATAACGATTATGTGATGGTTTATTGTATATACTGAATCCCAATTAACGGAATATATTTTGTTCAGTCTTGAATATGTTGCACTGCTTGTGGTCTGTTCTAGATTCGTTTTAATTAACTAATCTTGTGTTTATTAATCACATATACCTACACGCTTTTTTAAAATATTGCTGTGAATTTGATCAATAGTCAACAACTTAATGACTAATCCTATGCATTGATCTAGTCAACTCCTAGGGTTTTTTTTCTTCAACCTTTTTTCACGTGTGAATGTACGTAACACTACGTTATGAGCAGTGAGTTTTAGCTTACACTGTTCAAGTTTGTGTTTACTCATTATATACCAATTTTATGTTTGCCTTTATATATTTATGAAGTTATAGCAGTATATTTTGTATTTCCTGAAAGCTGTTTTGCTCTATGCTTGTGAACCTCGAATTCTCCGAATTGAGGATGTTAGACAAGTCTCCGTGTTTGATCATCTTTGTCTCCGACGGATTTCTGACATCGAGTGGCAAAACCATGTTAGTAATGCAGAGGTTCGACATCGTGTATTTGGGCACAACAACAATAATTCAATTGATGTCACCATCTTGAAACACCGATATCGGTGGCTTGGACATGTTTTACGAATGTCGTCCCAGAGAATTACTTGTCGACTCGGACTGGTTGGAAAAGGCGGAGTGGCGGTCGGTGTGTGACATGGTGTTGTGGTAAGAAAGAAAGCTGTACGGAACTGTCTTTTGTTGGCCCTTCACGACTCCTTAGTTGAAGTCTTAAAGATGGTGCAACACAATGGCTAGAAACGTTATCAGACATGGCTGAGAATATAAGTCAGCGGCGATTCTGTTGTGACTTTTTACTTCCTTTATAAAAGTGAAAGTAACTTCTTTAACTGGAAGAATTCTTTCTGGTTGTATTTTTCCTAACTGAATTGTTTCTCCCATTATTATTATCACTATTATTGACTTTAAATGTTGTATCGATGTTATCAATTCCCTTTTGTTATTATCACTGTCAAATATAGGCTTTCAGTCACATGTACATATACTAGTTATATCACTGTTCAGATTTAACAGTGAATTAATTCAAACAAAGTGTGGTAATCATTGCAAGTTTACTGAAGTATTAGGCAACAAGTATTTAATGTATTGCTACAAAAATAAAAATATTACATACAATAAAGTTATTGAATAAATCGCTTTCAGGAAACATAAGTTGAGTCATTTTGATGAGTTTTGCGCTAATTAACATATAATTAGAATGCATTATAAATATGAATTAAATGAATGCTGATTTGACCTTTTTTTAGGGTCATCCATGTTAAATTTGTAGCGTATGTAAAAGTATGTACTTTTGAAATCGATACCAATGATTCGGATATACTTACTTAATTTTGTAATCCCTAACATGCGTTTCTATATTCTCATACTGTAGTTTTAATGTTTTTACTTAATCATTCCTTTCATTATAATAAAGAACAATAGTCATGATGTTGAAACAAACTAAATCGATACACTTACTTACCAAGCTTGTGTGATTCGGTTTAATGGTATAGTTGAACACTCTCGAAGTATTGATTATCGTATGAATTGAAAAAAAGACAAATTCCCTTTTTTGCAACTTTTTATGTTGTCTATTATTCCCTGACTCATGATATTTTTCTAATCAATCGTTCCCAGAACCAGAACTAACAGTGAACTGTATGCACAATATACAACAAAGAATGCAGGAGTAAATACATTAGACTTTATATTGAATTTACATAAGAAACTTATAGTATCTCGACTTGATGGCGATCGGTGACTGGTTGGAAATGGACCAAACCGCGGATTCTGCTTGGAGCATGACCAGAGCATGCAACAGTCATGACTCTGTCGTGCCAACAAATATAGTGGAAGAAAGTTAAATCCTAGCTAGAAGTTGTCACACTATCGGTCATACATTTAGTAACAATAACGTCATTGATAAAGACAGTCTAAAACTATGACGGAAAACGAAGGGATTACAGTTTTGACAAATTTATTGCTTGATAAGTGGCTAAAAAGAACTGAATTTCAGTATTAAGTAGAATTCTAATCGAAGCTTTTGGATTACACAGATAACTATTTGGTTTTGTAATTAACTAGTTTTTATAAATGCATAACGTGATCATTAATAATAGTCTTCATTTCAGATTTACCTTGCTGATGAATGATAATTAGCATGAAATTTAGGTCCAGGGTTTCCAGTTGACTAAATCCGACCACCTAATATCAAACTGTAGTGCACGCCATGTCGAGTCACTTAAACCAATGACTAGCCACATTGGAACTCGATCGGTAGGATTCAACCAGCACAAAGTAGGACCAGGTAAACACGGCATTAGTTACCACTTAATTACTAATCAATGCATGTATCAGTAATTACTAGAAAGAATAGATATTAAAGAGGGAAATATTTTCCGTGAAAACGTTTGGACCAGATTACCAGGCGAAACGTTGGATTTACTTCAAATTCTTTCGCTGAGATTTTACAAATACATTCTTTCTCTTTAATGTATCACATTAACTGGGCGCCCAAATATTGTGAAAATATTCGTTCAAATTTAGACGAAAGTTCCTATTTATTATTCAAGAATAGATATTTCTTAAAGATTACTTATAGAGAAACTAATGATAAATTTCATACTGTTATTTGTGTTCTTCTATAAAAAATCTCTTCCAGATGATAACTTTTCTGAATCTGATATCAATTCAGATACAAGTAGTATGTCGGGAGATAGTATAACCAGTTCAATGAGCCAAATAAGTTTGCGAACGTCAGGATCGAAAAAATCCGGGTAAGCTTAATATTTTACACTTCAGTAATGTAGCGCAGTGTACTGAATAATCTCTTACGTTTTCGTTGTTTGAACAAACAAAGTGTAAGATCCACATATGAATGAATCTACGACTCATTAGGATGAGTTTTCTTTAATGAGATCTTACAATGGAATAGTCAATACTTTATAATTTCATTTGTCACCTTGGTAACAAATGAATCACAACGATGTAGCTTCTTTTAAAATTTACTAAGAGTTGGTGTTTTGGAAAATATTTCATGCTTAAAATACTTATTTCTCTCGGTAACAACTGTAGTGATTCAGCTTTAAATGGACAGTCAAACTATCATTTTGAGGTTAATCAATAACCTCGATATTTTAAAAATACCTAATCAATATGATTGATGTAACTATCTTCAACACTGTTTCGGTTACAAACATATTTTTGGTAAGTATAATTCTTCACTTTTTATCATTAGTATCATTTCTTATGGCCCTATCTAATATCAGGTGGCAAAACCACCAATCAGAATATCGACTTCTTTGACCTTGTCCCTGACATATCAACCAGCATTAGTAGCTTTCTAGAAAACTCTAAATCTTCATAGGTCTTCAATGCAAAACTTTCTCGCGTTGCCGTCTCCGTTAAGTTCGAAACACAATAATTAGCCCTCACTATATGAATATTAAATTTCAGACATACGTATTCTATATAAAAGCAGACCAAACCAAATTGCACCACAAAATGAAAAACATCAATTATATAAGATCAAACTAAAAATGGCTGTGAGTATAGGAGACTAACTAATAGATTGAGAATAAATTAAGAATAGTAGGTCATATAAAGGTAATTAACGGGTCAAATTAAAGCTCATAATGAAAGTGTTATTTGAACGGAGACTTACATTTTCTTGCTCATACTCCATCATCAAATGATATCCATGATTTATAGTATGTAGTAAGTCATAACTGCTCGGGAACCTTATTATTTTTCGGCTGTTTAAACAGTTAATTACAACCTAGTCATATACGCGGGTATTTTATCAGTTTAAAATGCTGGTATTTGGGATTGTACAGGAAAAAAGCTAGGGAGAAATAGGTAAGAATGAAGAGTTTCGTATTAGAATGAGAAAATACTGAACCTGCTTGGGTTAGCATAAGTACGAAGTTCTACATTGTTACTGACTGACTAGCATAAGCTTGAAACAGTTAAGTTTCTTATTCAACATTTCAGTCTGGCATGTTTTTTACATCACTGAGACTAGTGATTGTTAACTTTATAAATTAATATAATGTCTCTTCATGGGCATTTTTTAATGGACAACACACCTGCCATTCTATTTGCTAAGTACGAGTTCTGTATCCTGGTTTGTGCCAAAATTATATGTACATATGAGGACTAATTTTAATACCTGGCTACCTAAATTGAACTAAGTAGAGCAGATTTTGAACCATTAACTCGTTAGTCAAAGCTCAACTGCTTGAATGATTAAACCACTTACTGCTCCACCAACACCATTTTGTAAATCTGAGTAGACAGTAATCTGTTAAACATAAATACATACGTCTCAAATTTGTCAGTTTTTACAGCCCAAAGAAATTCAACCATTATATTTATGATATAAGTAAACACTACACCCATTGTATAGTGCATATAATATGTATACATACCGAGGAAAATTTTATAAATTTCTTTTCATTGTGGTTAGTTGTATACGCTCATTCTGTTTTTGTTCCGATAAAGACGTTCAATGAAAGCTAAACGAAAACAAGAAGCAAAGAAATGGAGCTCAAAACCG